TTAATGCCTGAAAGCTGGTAGACACCAGGCAGGGTTGGGGATTTGAGCTGAGAGGATTGGCCAGGTGGCCTTTTTTTTTTTTTTTTTCCCCCCTGACTTTGTGGGGAGAGCGAGGGTGCGAAGATCTCTCGGGACCTGTTCCTGGCCGGTGTCCCTTGTGAAGGTGAACGGAGGAGAGGCCTGGCCAGGCTTTCAGAGAAACAGTGTTAACGCTGCATGGGACTGCACTGGAAGCTTTGCTTGGGATGTAGGGTTATAATATTCTAATGCATTCTTTATTTTTTTCTTTTTTTTTTTTTTTTTTTGTTGGCTTGTTTCTTCTGTTGTATATGTTCTAGCCATACTTAAGAAATTCTGCAGTTAGGTTTTTCTTAGAAACACCGTTAGAAGACGCACTTATTTCTCCCTTGAGCAGAACTGTGAAAGGTGCACTGATTTCTTTGTGGCAGCTGAGAGGAGGTGTTGCTCTGGGAGCTGTTGCGGTGCTGCGGCACTGCATCAGTGCAATGCAGAATAATGCAGCGAGTAATTTAGAGCAATCTCCTTTACTGTCTGACCTTGATTAGTGGTGCTGGATTTGGCTCCATAACTACCAGCTGTTCATGGAATGCTATGGAGCTCAACTCAAGACTGAGACACATCAAATGTATAAGCTCATGATCAAAAAATTTCACTGTATTATCTCTTTAACATCTTTTTGAGTGATTGAGGAAACCTCACTGTTACTGAAACAATTACTTACTTTAGATTTCCAGAAACGCCCTGGGTGCAGCATTTGTTGCTACAAGAAACATCCATGCCTCCAAAACATGCTTTCAGAAAACTGGTGAGTATGAGGATGATCTTCATATATGAGCGCGGTTTAAGAACAACTTGCTCTATGCAATAAAAACGAATTTGGAGTGAGAGGGGTGTGCGTGTCAGTTGCCAGGACACTTGAGGACGTTTATGTACTGACAGCGAACTATCTGTTACACAGTCACATCCACTGTAGTAACTATTCAAATTATGCCCAAAACGAACAAGTTGTCACATGTCAGCTGGCTTATAGAGCTTACCTGCTTCACAAGGATTTGATTCCGTCTTCAACTCCTGCAGAATTATTTGAAAAAATACCTCAAAATCTGGTTTCCTGTCTGGTTTGTAACAGTATGAAGGAACGGATGACTTTCCCAGGCCTGCCTGGGTTTGACCTTGTGTCCTTGAGTGTAACTTTGTTCTGCCAGCATCTTGGTGTTTAGAGAAGGCAACAGCATTGCATAGCTGTATTTTTGGTAGTGGTTCATGTACGCTTTTTGAAGTGGTTTAGGGTGATTAAAAGTATTATTGGGAAAAAACACTTTCACAGTGTTATTTACTGTTTCCAAGCTGCGGAAATAAAAAGTTGTTGGAGGTACTCTGCCAAACAAATTTGAGGAAGATGGAGAATACATTTTTATTGCTGATACTGAACAACTTGCTCCTTAAATGTATTATGTTCCTTTAAATATATTTGGATCTTGGATTACTAGTCAGTTGACGGGGTGTTCTGAGGCCTCAGCCTAAGTAAATGCTCCGCAGGCGGAGCTAGCGTGTCTGGTTTTTCTAAGTCTAATCTATTTAATCTAATTGCTTTCTAGGGGAAGAGACTGCTGATAGTGTAGGATATAGGGAAGGAAATTGATAACTAAACAGCTGTCAGTGGTTTGAAGCTGACCTGCGATTAGTCAAAGCTGCTTTTATTGGCTGTGAATACAGAAGCTGTTATTTATCTCATGTATCATATGCAAGGAAGAGTGTTGCTTGCTAGACCTTGTGGCATACCTGAGAAAGGGTACCTTGGCTTGCGAATCCATACTGTGCCTTAGCATGCAAAATCTGGTTTGAAACTTCACTTCCCAGGCACTGCTGAGGTATCCTCTATTCTTGAGGAACGTATTTTGGGAGCTGACACCAGTGCTGAACTTGAGGAGACTGGCCGTGTGCTCTCAATTGGTGATGGCATTGCCCGTGTGTACGGGCTAAGAAATGTACAGGCAGAAGAAATGGTTGAATTCTCTTCTGGACTGAAGGTAAGCTTTCACTAAAGCAGTTTGTCTAGCTGAGAAATAGAAAGACTTTTTTTAAGGAGAATCTGAGACTATGCCTGGAGTTACCCATATGGACCCTTTACAGACTTTATCGCAACTTTAATGCATTGTAGCTAGTTGAAATAATACTACAAAAAGCAATTATTCTTTGAATTTGTAATACATTGCAAAAGGAAATTTTCTTTGAATTTGTAATACTTTGCTCTCAGTATTAGTATAGGGTTCTTGGCCAACATTTGAGCTTTATCTCTCTTCATCTAGGAAGTATTAAGTACGGATCTGGCATTGAATTTTGTTTTCTTTGGTTTCAGGCTGGCTTTTCTGTTCAGTGTTGAATAATAGCTTCTGTGCTCCAATACATTGTGAAGTTCACCGACTTCTTACAGTCCTATGAGTAACTAGAGTTAAAAAGCTGACTGTTCTGAGAGTACTGCAACACCTCTTCCAGTATTTTAATGCCCTGACTCGCCTTAGGAAGAGGAAAAAGCCAGTGCTTTTCCCTTGTTCAGTTCCTAGGCAGGAGGGAACTGTTGTATTTGAGCCCTGCTTATCCTTTCTGTTGTTTTTTAGAGAGAGAAATGACCTACTGCTAGACAGCTGCAAGTATAATTCGTTATGTGGTAAGCTGAAGGCTTAGGCAGGTTCTCTCACCAGTGTGGAAGCACATACATGCATTGTACGTAAAAGCAGAGCATTGACTGTTTTTACAAATGAGACTGAGATAAGACACTGTTGGATGTTGTACACTGCAGAATAATCACATTGTTATTAAACTGTCAAAAGTTTGTAAAGGTTGACATGGGTTTTCTCAGGATAATGTGGTCTTTGTCCTAGGGTATGTCCTTGAATTTGGAGCCCGACAACGTTGGTGTTGTCGTGTTTGGTAATGACAGACTGATCAAGGAAGGGGATGTTGTGAAGAGGACTGGTGCCATTGTGGATGTTCCTGTTGGGGAAGAGCTGCTGGGCCGCGTTGTAGATGCCCTGGGCAATCCAATTGATGGGAAGGTAAGTGTAACTAGGTGTTGACTACCTCTGCTTGTATCTGTGTGATGCAGACTGCAACGGGGTTTTTCTCCTCTTGTTTAAGGGTCCTATTACATCTAAGGCACGTAGAAGAGTTGGCTTAAAGGCCCCTGGGATCATTCCCAGAATCTCTGTGCGTGAACCCATGCAGACTGGTATTAAGGCTGTGGACAGCTTGGTGCCAATTGGTCGTGGCCAGCGTGAGCTGATCATTGGTGACAGGCAGACTGGGTAAGTTAAACGCCCAAGCTAAAAATGTTTTGTTAAACAGAGACACAAGTACAGTGTGATCTTCTGTACAAAGCTGAACACAGAACTGCGTAGAGGTTGGGAGAACCACAGGCAGCTAACTTACCGATCTCTGCGTTACACAGGAAAACTTCAATTGCAATTGACACAATAATCAACCAGAAACGATTTAATGATGGAACAGATGAGAAGAAGAAGCTGTACTGTATCTACGTTGCAATTGGCCAGAAGAGGTCTACTGTTGCTCAGCTGGTGAAGAGGCTCACTGATGCAGGTACAGGTTTTTGGAGATGGCTGAGCCTGGCAATGTGTGACATTCTGTTCTCATTATAAGGCTGAATACTCTGAACTCTCCTAGCTGCAAGTATGGACAGAATTATTTTCTTGTTAGATGTGAGGACTACTTGCTTTTCTGGACAAGAAATCTTTCTAGATATCTGGGGGGCAAAAAACCCTCTTTTGCTACGTTGCATTAGAATGCTAGTATGAGGCCCCAAAACTGCTGAGTTGGTTCTGAAAAAGTCACCTTCCACATTTTTTTTTTTAGCAGAGTTCAGAGCGCTTCCTCTTGGCAGTCAGGCAGGCCTGATGACAAGCTATGGCCTACAAGTATTTATGGACTTGGCATTTGTTTCATACGTGTGTGAGTTGGTGTGAATGGCAGTAGCAAGTTTAGTGGAGAGACTTTACTGCTAAAACATAGACTTTACAGCCCGAATGTAAGGGATTAAATGATAGCATCTTTTCAGAAACAGTAGTCTCCTTGACTAAGGCTGCATATGTAACAGAGCTTGCAAGAGATCAGGCACCTTACCTCTTGCCTGCTGGTCCAGCAGAGTCATACCTAGCAGGAAAATAAACCCATTTTAAAGACACTGATTTGTTTGGTACTGTGAAGCAAAGGATAGTTTCCTTGCAGAAACCAGGAAATCGCAGACTATAAGGCCGAGTTACTTCTAGAACTAGAGTGTAGCTTAGTGGAAGTTTAAACTTCATTTTAAATGGGAAAGAAGTCTGCAAGTGTTAGACCTGAGCTGCCATGAGTTTGCTTTTCTAACTTGTTGAGTAGTTGAGCTAATGTGTGGTGTTCTTTCCTGTAACGATGTAGTGATGCTGCCTGGGCTTGCTTCAGCAGCCAGTACTTCATGTGCGTGTTGTATTTGCTGATGAGGGGTCTGACAAGGTAATATACTCAGTGGCACCTGTCTCCAATTCTTTCCAGATGCCATGAAGTACACTATCGTGGTGTCTGCCACAGCATCTGATGCAGCACCCCTTCAGTATCTGGCTCCCTATTCAGGCTGCTCCATGGGGGAATACTTCAGAGACAATGGAAAACACGCATTAATCATCTATGATGACTTATCCAAACAGGTCAGGAAACATTGTTTATTGGCCTCATGGTCTAGCATTGGTGTTTGTAGCTGTAAGATCACCTCTGGTTAAGAAATTCAGAATTTTAGAGCTACTGAAGTCTGAGAGCTTTTTCTTGATGTCACACAGGCTGTTGCCTATCGTCAGATGTCTCTGCTGCTGCGTCGTCCACCCGGTCGTGAAGCCTACCCAGGTGATGTGTTCTACCTGCACTCTCGCCTGCTGGAGAGAGCAGCCAAGATGAATGACTCCTTTGGAGGTGGCTCTCTGACTGCCTTGCCTGTCATTGAAACTCAGGCTGGTGATGTGTCTGCTTACATTCCAACCAATGTCATCTCCATCACTGATGGACAGGTAGGTCATCTGTGCATGCCAGTGCTTCTGTGTAACTTACCAGCAGGTCTCTGAAGAGGCTTCCAGCCTTCTAACTGAGATGATAAAACCATTTTCTCCTACAGATCTTCTTGGAAACTGAGTTGTTCTACAAAGGTATCCGTCCAGCCATCAACGTCGGTCTGTCTGTGTCCCGTGTAGGTTCTGCTGCTCAGACCAGGGCTATGAAGCAGGTAGGCATCAAACTGCTGCCCCGCCTCTCGGCAGAGGCGAGTGGAGTGTAGGCTTTCCAGCCCACTTCGTTCTAGAGTGTTGCAAATAGAGAGGGAATAAAGCTTTGGGTTCCTTAGCGTTACGAAATTATAAAACCAACAAACTTTGGGGATCTTTTTGGTATTTTCATTGCCTGCTGAGAGGTGGGGGGAGGAATGAAAATAGTATCTGTATAAGGATGTAGGAGTACGAAGTTTCAGCGTGCTGAACTGAGTACTGATCTAACTAGAAATACAGAATGCTCTCTTAACCCCACACTTCCTTTAATCCAGGTGTGGAATTAGGTTTAGGATCAGCTGTGCCCACTTTAGGGAATGCTCATGTTAAAAGGCTGAGCAGACAGTGGCATTTTTAGATGTGCAGATAATCATCCATCAGAGTCTTGGGGTTCACTTGACCAGCCTGCAAGGCAAAGCTGGCTTGTGACCGCTGCCAGCTGAAGATAACCTGCAAACTACCGGGCGTGTTTAAACACTGGTCAACACTGGTTTAAACACTGGGCCTGTGTCTTGTGCGGCAGGTGGCAGGTACCATGAAGCTGGAGTTGGCCCAGTATCGTGAAGTAGCTGCCTTTGCTCAGTTTGGGTCTGATCTGGATGCTGCTACGCAACAGCTGCTG